ACCCTCTCTCACACACCCTCTCTCCAACTCTCCCACTCACTCACCCCCACTCCCTCTACCACTCTCCCACTCTCTCCCACACCCTCTCTCTCACCCTCTCTCCACTCACTCCCACACCCTCTCTCTCACACACCCACTCTCCCACGCACTCACCCCCACTCCCTCTACCACTCACTCACTCCCACTTCCTCTCCCTCTACCACTCTCTCCCACATCCTCTCTCTCACCCTCTCTCCACTCACTCCCACACCCTCTCTCACATACCCTCTCTCCAACTCTCCCACTCACTCACCCCCACTCCCTCTACCACTCTCCCACTCTCTCCCACACCCTCTCTCTCACCCTCTCTCACACTCACCCCCACTCCCTCTACCACTCACTCACTCCCACTTCCCCTCCCTCTACCACTCACTCCCACACCCTCTCTCCCCATAACTCATCTCCTACCCACACTAACTTTCCCCCTCGCTCACAATGTCACCCTCTCACCATCAATTAGAAAACGACCACATTTAGCATGGAGTATCCAATCAGAGGTAACCCTTCACAGTAAATACCTCCAATATCAGAATACAACTGCCGCGGGAGCAGTCTTCTATCAGAGTAGAGATAAAGTTGCTCATGAAGATGAAAGTGTAATATTTGTTCACGTAACAATCTGTACGCCAAAAACTGAGATAAAAGGCCAATCAGGGGTTAGGGGAGCTTTGATTACACATCAGCGCACAGTTGGGCACTTCCGTGTTTGAAACAACAACAGCAACGGTAGGAAATCGTACAATTTTTATATAAAAAAAATCTATCTACGCAGGTGTGCAGTTTTTATAACATAAAATATAATACTACAACAATATTCTAACTCTCGCTTATTTTAAAAGGAGATATTTAAGCGCGTTCTGAACAATTGCATATACATTGTGTTTAAAATGGGAAAGAAAAACATTACAATATGATATATTTTGGCTAATTCCAAAGTTGAGTAAGATGGTAGGTAACTCTTTATTATTTAATTCTATATCAGGTAAACCAATTACAGTTAATCCCTCCCGACTACCGCTACTAATCCCTGTAATTATCGCTAGCAGTATTGATTACTACTCAGATCAACGATCTACAAATGTACCGACTATCTGACTAAAACGCATTATTTTATTGATGAAGAACGCTTAAGAGACTGCATAGTCTATGTGTAAATGAATTTGTGCCCTCACCCCGCCCCTTTTCACTTTAAAACCACCAACATTTGCGTTGGGGTTCAATCTATCCACCGTGTCTTGGAAACAGTTGAGAGATCAACCGTTTAACCCTACAATGCTGAACATTGGGACCTTGGACTCATTTGGTTAAAGCGTAGATCTAGCTCCCCTGGGGACTGAGGTGATATGCCAAAAAGGGGGAGCAGGGTGATAAATATTTGAAAGCCTACTCCTCTAGACCACTCTGAGTCATTACTGGGATGAGGAATGTTGTATAAGGACGGTATGAACTGTCGTAAAATGTGAACCGTATGTTATATGTAATAATATTTGTACAATGTGTACATGAGACATTAGCATGATATTTTCCTGTCTTTTAAGTGTATAGCTCCACAGGGTCTGTATCATGATACTTGCATCCCCTATAATACATAGCTATTAGCTACCACAGATGACAGTAGTATGATATTTTCCTCCCCTATAGTGCATATCATCAATACAGAGTATGCGAAGGACCTATAATCTATAGAGAGTATGAGAAGGACCTATCATCTATAGAGAGTATGCGAAGGACCTATCATCTATAGAGAGTATGAGAAGGACCTATCATCTATATAGAGTATGCGAAGGACCTATCATCTATATAGAGTATGAGAAGGACCTATCATCTATATAGAGTATGAGAAGGACCTATCATCTATATAGAGTATGATAAGGACCTATCATCTAAAAGCAGTACGAGAAGGACCTATATAGCAATCATCTATATAGCGTATGAGCAGGACCTATCATCTATATAGAGTATGAGCAGGACCTATCATCTAAAAGCAGTATGAGAAGGACCTCCTCTCATCTATAAAGAGAATCAGAAGGACCTATCATCTCTTTAGAGTGTGAGAATGACCTATCATCTACGGAGAGTATCATAAGGACCTATCTTCTATATAGAATACGAGAAGGACCTATATAGCAATCATCTATATAGCGTATGAGAAGGACCTATCATCTATATAGAGTATGGGAAGGATCTATAATCTATATAGAGTATGATAAGGACCTATCATCTATGTAGAATACGAGAAGGACCTATCATCTATATAGCGTATGAGAAGGACCTATCATCTATATAGAGTATGAGAGGGACCTATATAATTATCATCTATATAGAGTATGAGAAGGACCTATATAGCTATTATTTATATAGAGTATGAGAAGGACCTATCATCTGTATAGCGTATGATAAGGACCTATCATTTATATAGCGTATGAGAAGGACCTATATAGCCATCATCTATATAGAGTATGAGAAGGACCTACATGTACGCCCTGTACACAGAAAATAACTGAGAACAATTACATTACAATATATAAATATTACAATTATAGAAGGATATAGTTACTATTTGAAAACAATAAACCTCTAAGCTAGCGTAAGCTGTAAGCAGGACTTACAATTAAAGCATCGTTGACAAAAACTACTGTGTGTGTGTGTGTGCGAACAAGGACAAAGAGACAAAAGATGCTGAAGCTTGTCAACAATGACACGACGATTCGTCCCAAGATGAGTATTGGGATATGGTGAAGAAACTCCCAAAATATATTTTTGATAGGTAAATATATATTACAAAAACAAAAAATAAATAAGGGCAATCAATATCAGTATAACAAGTAAGTGACGAAATGACATACCTAAAGACATGCATTTCGTGCATTTAATCTGACAGCATTTGTCAATCTCATACACTATCAAGTCGCGCCTTGCGTGTGAGTCAGCAGACCAATATAAGTGAATCAGCTCGTCAAATACCCACCGGGATTTCAGTAATTTATAATAAGAATAAATTAATAATAATAATAATAATAATTCGAGGTTCTTCTATACCGCTTTATCACAACCTATTTCGTAGGTTGTCTAAAAGCGGTTCACAAAGTATTATCCGTGGTTATAGGGCCTTTGCAACCAGCCAATATCTTTCTCAACTACCTGGGGAGCATAAAGCCGGAGCTGCCATTTCGGCGCTAATAGCTAGCATTCTACAATTCTAGCGCTGCCCAACCACGTACTAGCTGTATTTACAGCAGAGTAGACTGGAACAAGCGGAGTACAGTATCTTGCTCAAAGATACAACACAGTGCCGTGACTCGAACCCGCAACCCTTAGGTCACGATCCCGCCGTCCCACCACTAGACTACCGCGCCTCCTTATACATAAACATCCCGCAATCTTGTGTCGCACGATAAGTTATAAATTTAAATGATATTTTGTACACAACAAGTGACACACGTGTCGTTAAGATAGCCGTTAAATCGAATTGAATTGAACAACAAGAATTGAACAAAGACAATTTGACTATTAAAGTAGCGATATGATTATGATATATGCAATGAATAAACAAAGGTATCTGTTATATAAAATATGACTATAGCCGTTTACAGAAAAAAACCAAGATAATAGATTTCAAAAATCACAAGCAATGCCGATAAAAAAATCATTAGTTCGCTACATATTGTACCAATATATATTTATAAACCATAATTATTAAACAATACAAGATGACCGTATAAGGGTAATAATTAGTAATGTAAATTTGAAATTGTTTGAACAATATGCAATAAATGAATATGGACGGCGCTTTGTTTACCTACCAATTAAATATTCCTATACTCGACGTGCGGTAAAATTCTATCACTTTTAAGCTCGTCGAAACTGTTTACACGTTTATTTTACGTTAAAATGGTCCAAAACAAAGTAAGACGACTGTTATGACTTCAGGAGTCGGCGCCAGTAGCTTTCTAATACAGACGTACTGACGTCATCCTGAGGCTTAAAGGGCATAACACATCGAATAGTTAAAGGTGGTTTGAATTGTTGTTTACTGTGAGCTTAAGTTAATACCAGCTTATACCTTGTTTTGGTCTTATGACAGTCTGACTGTTGCATAATAAAGGTTAAACATATAAATGACTCCGAACGCATTTTTCTTTCCAGAACTTGCTAGTAACTCGTGAAGTCTGGTATAACGATTCTCTTTAGAAGCATGGTCCGTATTATTTTGCTATGTTTCATTGTTATGGTTGCAGTGACAAGGATTGACACCGCTTCCATCACAGATGCAAAGACGCTATTCTATAACATATCTACTGGGTATAACAAAGAAGTCAGGCCAATTGCTGACCAGAGCGATACTCTGACCGTATCTATCAATATGTATCTCATCTCTATCAAAGACTTCGATGAGGTTTCGGGAACAATGAATATCCTGGCAGTGTTTACCATTAACTGGAATGACGTGTCCCTAGTTTGGAATCCAGCCGCTTACAATGGGTTACATGACATCAACATCGGACAAAATAATATATGGCTTCCGAAACTCTATAACATCAAAGCATCGAACACATTTAGTGCAATCAGCGATTCTGACCTTTTGGTGAATATTGCAAACAATGGTGAAATCATCTGGCAGCCTGCTGGCTTCATTGACGTCAAATGTAGCCAAGACGTATCATACTTCCCATTTGATAGACAGACGTGTTCTATACAATTAGCACCATGGGGTTATTTTCAAAACAAAGTCCAGCTTCAGCCACAGAAAACGGAGGTATCTTTAGATTTCTATGAAACAAATGGAGAGTGGTCTTTGGATAGAACTATAACTGGAACGTATGTGCTCAGTGATATCAGTCTAACAATTTTTAATATTACAATTTCTCGACTTCCGGCATTTCATATTGTTAACACACTGATGCCGATATACCTGCTGCTAGTCATGAATCCACTTGTGTTTGTGTTGCCAGTTGACTCAGGTGAACGCGTGGGATTTAGTTTGACCGTGTTCCTCACCTTCACAGTATTTATCACTATCGTGAACGGTGTCCTCCCCGCCAACTCTGAAAGCATGTCCAGACTTTCCTACTTTATATTCGCCGTGCTCGTTGCTAGTGGTATCATCGCTTCAATCAACATCTTCCAACTTCGCTTGTACCACAAAGATGAAAACTTACCAGTACCTCGGTGGTTGGTCAGACTCATGCGAATCCTCGGTTGTCATTGCAGGAAGTCAAGAAGAAGAGTCATTGAAGTTTGTCCGGTGAACGCGATACCCAAGACGTTAGATCAAATTCGCAGTAAGAAAGGGCTGACAATCCAAGAAGAAGAAAACGCAACTGAAGGAATAGAGCAAGATATAACTTGGAAAGATGTGGTGAGCATTCTGGATACATTTTACATGTGCACGTTCTACACGTTAATAACGGTATGCAGCATTGTTACTCTACTCGATATGTATCAAGGGAACAAGTGATATCAACGTTACTGATGTAGCATTAATTATTCCGGTTAGATTGTCTCAGGGTAAGAGCTCAACCCCACTGATGTACCTTTGTGTGCTGTAAATCATGTTGGTCGCTGTATTATGTTTCTATGATGACATCGATGCAAAGTATTTGTTTTTCTGTGTACTCAGTGCATACACAAACATGTTTTAAGGTAAGGTATGTTAACTGATCAGAAATGGCTCAAGTACAAAACTGCGAAACTACATAAAGAAAGTGTCAATTATGAACTGACTCGAATACTTTCATCAATTTCAAACATCCGCAAAGTACGGTTAATGTATAAACATAAGATAACTTTCTGTCAAAAGTTAAAGGAGTTCCTTCAAAAATCATTTCTCAAATATATACATGTTTATGTATAACATATTGGTCGAATTAGTATATATTTCCGAATGTGTTAATAAATACTGGCTAGTAAATATTGTATTTGACCAAGATAGACAGTTTGTGTTTAGCTGAACTTGACTGGCTTTTCACCGTCAGGACTGATTTTGTCTTTGATAGCAAACCCCTTTCTAACCTCATGATCTTCACCCTCTATGAAGAAAAGGACAATATAAACCATACTACTGAGAAGTGAGCTTTGTTTTCGTTTAATATAAATTAAAGTACTAAATTTGACCTTGATCAACTTGAGAGATGATCAAGGTCAATCTTCTTTTCAAACTCGATAACTAATTTTCTGAGTATGTTACCGCGCGAATGTCGAGACCCTATCTCTTGTAGAACTTGAGAGGAAGTTTCTGAAAGATTTTGCCTTAAATAAGTACATTTAAAATTTTATCCCTACAAAAAGCAGAAAGTTGACTTTGACACAAAATATTTCCTGAGAAAAGTATGTGTATTGGCGTCCTCCACATTATACCAGAACGCAATGCTAATGAATTACACGGTTAATAAAATATTCTGAACATAGACATTTCTTTTTACCATGAAAATTGATCAAAGTCAATCAGTTTTTCAAACCTGATAGCCAAACATCACTGTATCTAACATATCAAGCATACAGACCCTAGACCTCGTAGAATTTCAGAAGTTTTTTACAGGTTGTTACCATATATGGCTCATTTAAACTTTGATCATTTCAAAAAAACAAAAGTTGACCACTGAGATAAAAATACTAATGGAGAAAAAGTTTTGTATTATTCAACTTGACATTAAACTTAATAGCTGTAGCCATTATTGAATTAATTGCAACTAAGCCAGAAACGGATAGGACGCCATTGCTGCCATTCTGGATTGTTTATTAAGTGAAAAACGTAACAAAATTTAACATCATATTTTTCTAACAAAAACAATAATTACACAAATACTAAAAAGTCAAGTAAACTATATAATCTACACAACTCATAATCAATTGAATAGGTTATGTTTTAGTTAGATCGTTGACCTTGATAAAATCAGAAGCGCGGATACATAACGTTATTTCATGGTGACCTATACTGGATTATTGGGATCAACGGTCAAAATAACACACCATCGATTGGTGAGTACAATACAATGTGGCACAATAAATTAATCCCAGCTATAATTCTTTTACTAAGTACCGCCATTTAAATAATTTAAATCCCTGGTAAAGGGATAAGGATAAAAGAGTCAGGGAAATGTCAGTTCATTAGAAGTCAAGAGCATTCACGTGTATATGTCGTGTTATTATGATGTTTTCAATTACTGTTTATGATTGACAACTCTGTAGTGATACACTCTAACACACATGCGTATACAATGAATTGTGCGTTCTCTATAATGAAGTGTAACAAAGTAGCAATACCACACTGGGTAATGTAGTCGTAGTGACGCAGTGTGTAGTAGTGAACAGTTTTACAGAGATCATAGGGAATTTTTACAAACTCTAGAACGATTTTTGATCAAATTAATAGCCTCAACTCACAATCAATATTGGTCAGAATATTGTCACATCTTTATTTTTAGCATTAAGTTTTATATATTCAATAAACATGATCAAGTGTTATTTGCATCTTTTAAACATGTTTTTACTGATGTAGCACAAAGTTTGATGACTGAAATTTCCTTTTACTGTTGTATGTTACTTATATTAAACTTTCAACACTTCTGTAGTTTTTGTCTTGTATAAATTATCAATTGTTATTTTCGGTACTTCACAAATACAGGAATCAGTGTAATAATATCCAGGTTAAGGCTATCAAAAAAAAGTTTGTTAAGAAACAATGTGACTACGTAGCAGTATATAAGGAGCAACATAATACTAAGATAAACATTCTGGATCTGTATATTCCTTTCACAACCGTCAATGAGACAGCACTTCTGTTACATAAAATTGAATATCAGATGTTAGATATCAGTAAATAGAGATGGCAATATGGTAAACCGATATATATATATATATATTCCTTTCGACAAATCTAGAAAAACAGATTTTGTATTGCATTAAAAGGTAAATGAAAAGATTGCGATAAACTAAGTCAATGGCGACTGTTAACTATGCTTCTGATTTTATTGTCTGCTAACCGTAACTACTTGATGCCGTAACAAATTATTTAAGTAGTCCTATCCTTTAAGATTAATATATATATATTGAAAGCAGGTGATACCTAACTAAGATACTGTCCGACTCGATAATCCTACGTCGTTTCACTGGTTTGGGAAGTGATGTGAGAGATTGTCGATAATTGGTAATGCTGAAACGTACTGAATGCACGTTTCCATAGAACCAAATGGAAATTTAGCGTCCACCATGTTTACAACGAGACTTAGTACGGAGTAATTTACTAGCGGGGGAAAGTGCGGTCAACCAATCAAAATCTGTCGAGGTCATATAAGCTGAATTAATATGCAAAAGTATGAAATGGGTGTATTCACTACATAACAGGTGAGTTATATGAAAAATAAAAAGAGCATATGACACGTCCTTTATATATCATTTTAATAATAAATATTTTTATAATATATAACATATCATATAATTTTGCTCCATGTGAATTTTTAATATATGTTCATAGTGTTCCGTAAAAAATTTGGCAGAAAATCTATGTAATAAAATATCTAAACTAGGGGAAAAAACTGGAATTTGTTTTCTAGATTAATATATAAAACGTTAAGGAGGATACAGTCTTATACAATGTACCTGTAATTTAATACATTCAAAGTAGAAGTTTGGCAAGTATCCAATACTCTTTAAGAACATCAATGCTTCATCTGTTTGTAGCTTACTAATGCAGATGCACTAACCTAATGGAGAGGTTTAAAGCTTATACAACCGAGCAGGTTAAGGTAGTGTGTTTTGTTTTAGGTCCAAGCCGGCGTATTTTATGTTTAAGCCGTTTGTCGACCTGGCGTTTGAACACCTGAGATTAAAATTAAAAAAAAAACTGGTCTACAATTTACCTTAAACAAACATGATTCGTGACTTATTGTTATGTGTAATAGGTTTGGCTGTTGTGACAAGGAAAAACACCGCTTCTATCATAAATGCAAAGGCGCTATTAAGTAACATAACGACTGGGTATAACAAAGACATCCGGCCAATTGCTGACCAGAACAATACTTTGAACGTGTCTATCGATATGTACCTCAACTCTATCAAAGACTTCGGTGAAGTTTCTGGGACGTTAAGTATCCTCGGCACGTTTGTTATTCATTGGGATGACGTGTCCCTAGCTTGGAATCCAGCTTACTACGGTGGTTTGGAGCAAATATCGATGGGACAAAATAATATATGCCTCCTACACTCTATAAAATCAAAGCATCGAACGCATTTAGTGCCATCAGCGATTCCGGCTTTTTGGTGAAGATTTTATGCAAAAGTAAAATCACCTGGCAGCCTAGTGGCTTTATCGATGTCAAATGTAACCCAGCCGTGTCTTACTTCCTATTTGATAGACAGACGTGTACTATTGAATTAGCACCATGGGGTTATTTACAAAACGAAGTCAATCTCCAGCCACTGCAAACGGAACTCTTTTGGGTTTTTATGAATCTAATGGTGTTTGGTCCTTGGTTAAAACCACATCAGGAACGTCTGTGTTCAATGGTTGCAGCATAGCGACATTTGCTATGATAATTTCCCGACTTCCGGCATTTCTTATTGTTAACACACTGATGCCGATATACCTGTTACTGGTCATAGATCCACTTGTGTTTTTGTTGCCAGGTGACTCAGGTGAACGCGTGGGATTTAGTTTGACCGTGTTCCTCACTTTCACAGTTTTCATCACTATCGTGAACGATGTCCTCCTTGCCAACTCTGAAAGCATGTCCAGACTTTCCTACTTTATATTCGCCGTGCTCGTTGCTAGTGGTATCATCGCTTCAATCAACATCTTCCAACTTCGCTTGTACCACAAAGATGAAAACTTACCAGTACCTCGGTTGTTGGTCAGAGTCATGTGAATCCCTGACTGTCAGTGCAGAAAGTAAAGAAGAAGAAGAGTCACTGTTGTATTCCCGGAGAACACGGAATCAAAATCGACGAATCAAAACCGCAGTAAGAAAGGACTGGTGATCCCAGTAGAAAAAGGCACAGAAGATACAGACGAAAGAACGACGTGGAAGGATAGGGTGCGCATTCTTGACAATTTTTTTCATATGTCTTTCATATAGTATAATAACTGTCAATAGCATCGCTACTCTTGTCAGTATGTCCAAAGGGGACAATTTATCTCTACCAGACTGCTTCTAGCTTAATCAATATGCATATTGATCATAATAATTTATAAAACAACTGAAATTACAACTAAAGCGACAGTTAAAGAAGATTCCAGACATGAACACAGGTTATAGTGAGTTTTCTCTCTAACTCCTTGTTTACATTACATGATCATGTACTTTTAAACAGATACCGTGTAGTCCTTTCAGAAGTTTGGTGACGTTTCTGATCGTGAATAAAATATTTCGTATAAAGCAGACTCAAAAATATATAAGAATTAAAAAAAGTACAAAAGTAGCCAGTAACCGATTAGTCCGAATTATTCTGACGTGTTATTGACCTTTTTTTTTTATATCCATCTGTCGTCGATTAACTCCGGCCCTCTATAATATGCGGGAAATAAGCGACCCGCGCCCGGGTCACACTTCAAACTGATAATTTAGAAACAAATTGTCACTTTCACACGCATGTCTAGGTGGTATCAATAACATGTTATAAAGATCATTACGGAAAGTATTTTCCAACGTTTTCTATACCAACCCATGTTTTTAATAGAAATTGGGGCATGAGCAATGTCACATGACTTGACGAGATCTCGCGTTACCAAAGGTATTTCCCAACGTTATGACGTAGGCCGGCGAGATTTTATTCACGTGGCATAAGAAGGCGGGGCTATAAAAAAACTAGAGTAAAACAGAGTAAGTTTGAAAGAATATGTTTTTAGTGATTGTTTTGGTTGTTTGAGGCATGGAATTTTATGTTCATCTTGTGCATACAGAAAAGATCTTTCGATCCATGTGCGACATGTGTGTGAAAGTGACGATTTGCTTCTAAATTATCAGTTTGAAGTGCGACCCGGGCGCGGGTCGCTTATTTCCCGCATATTATAGAGGGCCGGAGTTCTGACGTTAATCGACGACAGACCGATATAAAAAAAAAGTCGATAAAACGTCAGAATAATTCGGACTAGTTACCGATATAATCGAACATTATAGAAAGCGGAACAGTGTACTCAAGTAATGACCCGGGTATTACCAAAATCCCGGATAAATAACGCTGATTACTTTATATGTAATCGGATTAAGGGAAGTGGGATTAATGGTAAACATAACACGGTAATAAAGGGGCTATACTGGAGAGGTTAATCCTAGATATGAAAATGTTTTTCTGTCCTAAGCTTGTTTGGATGGACTATACATTTTTGTTCAAATGTCAGCCTTAGTTCACATTCAAGGTGAGAATATTGTCACATTTTTACAATTTCCTATTCAGTATTATATATGATAATCAAGTAATCAATATCAACCAGTAGTTACATGTTTCCAGATTTCTTTTGTCATTGTACATGTACGTAGATCACAAAAAATTGTCTTCAGCGTTCATGTTATGCTAATAAAAATTCAAACATTAGTGCATTGTCATATGTGATCTACTTCAGGGAAAGTGTATCTGTTGTGTGTAGAGTAACTACAAACACTGTTAATATAAAGGTAATTAAGGATCTCTATACCACCGCCAAAACTGTATCTGTGTATAATAAACTATTTTGTTCAGGCAGAACATAAGTCATTTCCGAAAACCATATTGCGAGAATTTTATAAAAAACGACACAGTTAAAATAAACAAAATAATCGACAAACGTGTTCTGGGTGTAAGAAGTTATGCCGGGCTGGACCGAGATTCGAACCCTGAACTTCAGTTTGTTACACAATCGATCTAACCGACTGAGCTACCGTGTAAATGATAATATTCTGGTCCATCTGTACTACAGTTACAGGGATCCTTCAGGGACCACATACTGTTTACGTTAAATCTTCATTACAAAATATCAGGTACAAGAGATATCTCTCTGAAATATAGATGCCGCTGTGTTATAGTGATAATTCCAGAAGCAGAATGGTTTGCATGGTAATAAGGGGGCTATATGGAAACATTGCTATGCTAGGGTGGGTTTGTTTTGATTTCATAACTTATGAACAAGTACGATTTTTTTTATATCAAATAACTACTTCGGGCAATTTTTGCGAAATCGTTAAGTTTTAACATAATCTAACTTCATCAAATGGGTTAAAACATGAAAACAATAAACCTTAATTGACATGATCTTGTTATAAAAATATTATAAAAATCAAGCTTTTTGTCCCTTAGATAACAGTGAGGAGGATATAACTTGTACACAGAATGATTACCTATCCTGTAATAACTGTGTCATACATGGTATTTCCAACGTTAACATTCCACATCAAAAACGAAAGTAGAATATCATTTTTTAAACGATAAACTAGAGATATTCGATAATTAAAACTAAATATAAGTTCATATGTTAATGATAAGAAATTAAAAACACAACATTTCAATCGTCTATACATTCACACAAAAATAGTGATAAAAATGTTGGTTATATTTTTAACGATGTATCCATCTCACCGAGCAAAATAAGTCTAATCGCTCTTAAGCTATAACATGATTGGTCTATAAATACAATTATATCGTTTTCACATGTAAACAAAATACTTTATTTTTTGTTGTTTATTCCTAATCAAAATCCCAAATACATTTAGCGTAATGTTTGTGCCAAGTGACGTAAGTCACCAATGTGTGTTATGCACTGTCTCAGTTCACTGACTTCACAGTCAACACAATATACATACATACATGCATATGTATCAGGGCCAGTGTACACCATTTAAAGGCGTGCAGTTAGTCCACGCCCAATCCTGTGAGATGACAAACCTTAAGAATGAGGATAGTTCACAAGGTTATTCAAACACGTTTCGTCTATTAACTTAATTGGTCAAAATTTACTTTTGAGTTGCATCAACATCTGTTCAAATGCGCTTATAATAAAAAAAAATGAAATTATTAAATAAATAAGAAAAGTACTTCAGACGTTTTGATCGTGAATCTTTTACGTCACAATAAGACATCAGAATAAAGGGCCTTTAGGTCATTCAACATACATGGTATTTATGAATATTTGTTTCTACTTATGCCAATAGGCCTATTCATATATACCAAATTATTAGGAAAACGTTTGCACATAACTGGTGTAGATGAAGCGCTCTAATCTTGAACACTTAAATGATTTGACGCGTTCGTTGCCACATAAACAGGAATCAGTTTGTTAAACTACCGGTTAACATTACTGTTTGTGCCTTTTTTGTGATGTCTTTCCTCTTCATTAAGCATCTCCTCAGTTTGTGTATTTTGTATTTACAACAAAGAATATCATTTAATTTTCATAATACAAATATATGTCAGTTAAGGGAATTAAATCGCCCTGTACATTCTGCAAAGTCTCTATCCGGACGTTTTAAGACACTACCATAACTACAACGTTATATTGATACTTCACAAGGACAAGATCCGAACCTGAATCGGATACAAATGAGAAATACAAGGTTCACAATCTCCCTTATGACGATAAATGACTTAATATTTCTTAAATTGACGGATCTGCGTTTTAAATGAAAGTCTATTGACCAAATCACCGAATTAAAAAGGTGTGAGATCTAACCACATTAGTGCACATTTACGCTTCCGTAATCTGGGAATGTAATATTTCGGGAAGAAAAGTTAACATTAATGCGAAATAACATGAAGCAGTGCTTTAGAACAATAAGGTATGATTTAAGGAATGTAATAAAAGAAATACTAGACATGGGTCTTTATCCCTGACGCAGGTCGTGTGTGTAGTAACGGGTGTGTTCGCCTTAAACCTACCTGTGACCTACCTGTGACTTATTAAGTTGTTTCCCGGAAAGCAAATCACTTCCTTGTTTGAATTGTATGCTCCATGGCTAACTCACTGGGTTTCTTGTGTTGTTTCTTTTTCACTTTTCTAATGTCCTTTCTTCTCCAAACTGTTGGATTCTTCACTCCAAACTGGGTAACATGGAAAGGATGCGAGGAACAGGGACTTTTCGGCTATTCCACTTCAAATACAACTAGTGAATGCATCGGCGGTGGTGATTGTAGGTATTGGTAAACTGTTGACGATATGCAAATGTGTACTATTACAACAAAAGCATTTTATTGAAAGACAATGCATTAGAAAGGACGTAAGGAAGTCGTCATACATTTTTTTTATCTTTAATCTATAAAACTATGATTCCTACGATCCTCTTATTGAAGCGAATGTTAAAAAAACCCAATTACGTCAGATATTTGTTTGGGTAAGAAGGTGTAAACAAAAATATAATTTTGTCATGTGACATATCCTGTTTTACTAGTTCGCAGCGGGTATTTCCATCAGTAGTGTCATTTACACCACTAAAACGAAAGTAGAACATTTTTAATCTTATTCTCTCATTCTGATTTAAATTTTCTGTTAACCTTATTGACATTGAAAGTATTGATCTTGTTCAAGTATTTTATGTCGTAGCTTCGACAAGATGGCCCAGAAACAGAACTACAGAATGAATTGTGATATTTTTTGTTATCTTAGATTGAACAATGTTTTGTTTTCCCTTTTTAGACTTCCATCATCAGGTGGTGGGATGATCAAATCGTCCTTCGTCTGTGGTTTCTGGTCCGTTCATTCCTAAACGATTATGCTATCGCAATTTCTAGAAAATAAGTACTGGTTGTTTCTTTCTCAAATTTCATATGAAGGTTCCAATTTGTCCATTGTTGTACACGTTTCGTTTTTGGAATAATCCGGAGAAAAAGCTTGCCACCAAGTTTGTTACCACTATTTCTCAAGAAGAACTCGAGACATCTTTATTTAATTTCTTGTGTGGGCTCCTCCAATCCCTTAGTTATATATGTTATATTTAGGACTGAGCAAGAAAATGAGCTGGCAAGAAGGCAGCCATCTTAAATTTGAGAGCTCAAGTTTGTTATCTCTATTTCTCAAGAAGTAAACAATGAACAACGGCCTCATTTTGAATGGACACTCTCAAAAGCAGCTGTATGGAAAATTTATGCAAAAGTTACCACAAGATATATTAACTGTTGACAACTGTTCCAGCAGATAGGAGAAAAGCATAGAAATGAATGGAAAAATCAAACTCAAAAAGAATTAATGAAAATGTTACGATGGTGGGCACCAAGTTCCCTCTGGGATCTTCTGTTATAACATACATAATGCAACAAATCATAAAATTTTTGAATTTGAATTCCCAGTCACTTTAATACCGTACGTTGTGCACACACACACCATTTAAATGTCTAATACCCGACAGTGATTAACAATTCGTGGAATTGTAAAGGTTCACAGCAATTGTTTTTTTTCCTGTGACTCTTTAAATAAAAATACGGCATACAGATCATTTGCTATGCATTCTGTGCTTGTGTGTATATGCTGTAGTTATGTCCCCCAAACAAAGTTTGGTGACATATTGTTTTTGGTCCGTTTCTTCTTCTTCTTCTTACAGACCTTAATAAAACTTTGCAAACAAAAAGATGACGAGGAGTGCACATGGGGTTTTGTATTCCGATTGTTACCATAGCAAATACACGGAGGCTTCTGATTAGTCGAAATTTAGATATTGTTCGATTTTGATGAAAATTGATTTATAGGGTATACGAGGACTGCGAATTTAACCGCATAGGTTTCGTTGCCATAGCAACCACACGGTGGCTTCTGACTGATTGGTCGAAACTTGGATATTGTTCGATTTTAATGAAAATTGGTATGTAGGGGTATTAGGGGACTGAAAATTCAATCGCATAGGTTTCGTTACCATAGCAACCACACGGAGGGTTCTGTTTGGTCGAAATTTAAGTATTGTTTGATTTCACTCAAATTTAGTATGTACATTGTGGGAGTATTATGGCAATGCGATTCTTTTCAGATGCATCTATGCGACTATGGGGGCAGTTTGGGGAAATCTGTAATGGTCCCCCATTACGATTTGTACATGTTAATCTTTTGTTTGTATGCTATCGCTGAGATATATTTCGTGATAGACTTTGTGCTGTTGTGTTGGTGCTGTGGTACATAATGTGCTCGTGTGTGATGACTATGTGGTATAATTATTCGTTGTACAAAATGTATGTTATCTTTGTGCTGAAGCTGTGGTTTGTTTTCTATTTCTGTTGACTTTGTTTTGTAGTTGTACCGGTATTTGTCATTGTGATATATTTTTTCTTCGTGTTGGACGCGATGAAATGTTTACGTTGTGGTATATAATTCAGACTTGCTTGTTAGGACATTCTATCTTTACTGACACTGTGTTACATTTTGTCCCTACATGTTTACACCTTTAAATTTTATCTCTTTTAATTTTACGGCAAAAATAAGGATCCCTGTTTCATTGCAAGTAAACATGCCTACAGTAAATTTTGCTTAATATCATTTTAGCTATAACTGATTGTTAAGACAATTTTCCATTCATTGTCCCTAAATATGTTTAGTCTAAATATGCGTTCGTTTAAGACATCAGCTCAGCAGCCCTTGGCCTACAAGCAACGTCATTCGCCATCCACCTGCTCGTTTGTTTGACCTCGATATGGCTAATGTGCTGTAGCGGAGACGATGACGATGACGATGACGATGACGTTGGATGCTGTTTATGTTGTGCCGGATGCTCCATCATGATGTACCCAGCTGCAGGTATGTTAACTTCTGCTTGTTTGTAGATGTCTTTTAGAAACAATTTTGCAGCGTATTTTCTAGTTCTTCCTTTTTTTACATTTTCCCGCATTTTTGCATTGAAATGCTTTTAATTAGCACTCAACGTCAATCCGAATGTCAACTGGAAATATAAAACATGGCGTGCGCAAGCGCGTCATGTGGATTTTCCGTTTGACCTTATATTGACAATGCATGCCATCTGAAAGCAGTCCATGCATAAAAACGAGAAAACACCAAAAAGGGAAGAACAAGAAAATGCCTTTTATTCCTTAACCACTTAAAAGTTCAATTTGGTAGAAATTCAAACGACTCTATCAAAGTTCGGCAAAAACGTATGTATTAGTCGCCTAAACTTGTTGAATAAATAAAACGGCTATCTTTAAGGGGTGGTCAGCGTTATTGAAGTAACAATTATGACAATTATTCCATAGCAAATCCCAAAACTACACAAATGTGTGACCGTTCTTTAAAAGTTATCAAACAAGATTTATGCATTCATGGCATTACCAATAAAATGGACTTTTATCCCGTAACAATAGTATCAAGCTACATATTCGTAAATAATTTGCTTTGATATTATTTTTTTGGGAAATTACCTCATAGTTCTCATTTAAATTTAAATTAAGAAAAATACATAGGCGTATACTTATGATAACTGCTTACGAGGAGTGAAACAGTGACTTCAATGCCAGGCTACAGAACTTAGCTCTTTATGGAATTTCACACAGGGTTATTCAGTATAATCGGATGTGGTGTGATGTCTACCATAGACGTGCCCGAATTCTCGTACGGTTATTCCTTCGGCCTGTGTCTCGCCAGTGGTGTCTACGTCATGCTTCAAGTTAGTATCCAGTGTTTAAAAGAGGTTTGAATATGTTATGAACTACTGTCATATATTCATGAATTTCTGAAACAAAAAAACCCAACATCATTTGGTCGTGATTCGAACTATATTGTAACTTTTAAACTTTGAGATGTATTTGCTATCTACAGATTTGCGACAACGATTCAGTCCTTTTATTTACTATCAAACAGGCTATCCTAGTATGCTACTGCCTATGCAAAGCCAGCGACGACGATGACGACTTCTCGGCATCCCGACAGACTCCAACCACTGTGGCGACCACTGGTGCCAGCGGTCAGCTTAATCTCGCGTACAACCACCAAGAACAACATGTAGCTGTTGTTGTGACGGAGAGGGAGGAACAAGCAATGTCTAATGGAGTCATGATATTACGCAAGTTGAGGATCATGCAGATCGTTAGACTTGGTCGCTGAACACAAAACTAGCAACTCGCTTCAATGTTTGTCAAGGTGTGTTACGCGCCAATCAAAGGCTTCAAAAGGGCTCAGATAATTTTCTTATCATTTTTGTTTGGTGTTGTTTTAACTAGATACCGTTCTGCTATTTTGTATATTTATTTCGGAACACTTTTAATCTTTTAATCCAATCTTTTGACATTTAGTACCACTGATATGCCTTGAATGAACGAAATGGCAAAATGGTGCAGCGTAAATATTTACTTCGCTTAGCTTTCTTCATCTACATTCTATTTAAATAATAATAACGCCGTCTCTGGACATGGTTTTGGACTTCCGTTCTTGCGGTCTTCGTGTATGTTTGAAAATAACTGTTTTGATATCTCTATATCTGTATGGCCACTGATCAGATTTATTTACACTCTGTGTATCTGTGTATTTAACTTTTAACATTTTGATTTTGAATTAAATATGACTTTATTCAATCTTGATGTATCTTATTTCTAAAACATTTTTAGCTCACCTGGCCAAAGGAAAAGTGAGCGTATGCCATGGCGAAGCGTCCGTCGTTCGTCGTTCATCCGTCGTCTGTCGTCCGTCCGTCAACTTTTCCTTTAAAACGCTACTTGTCCTGAACGGCTTGGTGGAATTTAACTCAATTTGGCATGAAACGTTTCTTGGGCCAAGGGCACTCAATTCTGGGAGGAGAGGGACGGGACCCAATAGGGGAAATAGAGGTAAAACCTTAAAAATCCTTCTTCAACCGTAGGGATTAAGGAATGTTATCCTTATTTAGTCTGGAGCATCCTTGGGCCAAGCGGACACATTTTTTTGTATAAATGATAGGTGTGNACATCCTTGTTCTTCTGTAGGAATGACAAGATTTTGTCCATATTTGGTCTAATGCATCATTTGGTGAAGGAGACCTGATTTTGTATCAACGGTGGTTCTGACACCCTGGGGGCAGAGGGGCGGGGCCAATAGGGGAAACATAGCAAATTCTTCAAAATCCCTCTTTTCATGTAGATATAACAGGAGTTTGTCCAATTGCATATAAACATAACCCCTGACTAACCACGCAATACATGTACACTACCAACAACATTTAGCTGTTCCAACTGCAATTTTGCTTACATTTCCAGGTTAGCGATACAGGCCCACTGGTTTTTATGACAAATGATAAATAACCTATTTTTTGGTAAATTAACTGAAAAAAAGAGGAATGTTTAACATTACATTTATTGAACCATATTTAGAACTTTTATAAAAATCATGTCATTTTCTACTGGTCGTATTTGACAACAAATCAACATTACTGACGCCCGGCTACTGTAACCTTTTGGATAATTATGAGACAGTTACCCTTAATACTATCTACTTATCAATTTCTATGGGCTTATATATGCTTTGTTTAGAATCTTCTTCTGTATTAATCAATGAAGATCAATAATACTAAGTTGAGGCTCTTATACCGCTTTTATTTCAAACATGGTCGTTTCAAAGCGGTTCACATATTATCATCCGTGGCTATTTGTTATTTACAACCAGCCAACATCTTTCTCGTCTCCATGGGGAGCATGTACATTGTAGCCGGTGCTGCTATTAAGGCGATCACAGCTAGCATTCAACAGTCCCAGTATCTTCTTCAAGGTTACAACTCAATGTCATGACAGGATTCGAACCCGCGATCCTTCGTTCATGAGCCCGGCGTCCTAGCCTCAAAGCACACATTTTAAAAGACTACATACTATTGTATATAATTAGGATGTTATAATAAACAAGAGGTCCAGAGGGCCTGTATCGCTCACCTGAATATGTTTAAGATTATTGGTATGAAGTAAAGATATAGCACTCCATGGTAGGTGCTGTAAGATCAAGTACTTGAGATATAGCGAGAACAAACTTCAAACAGGGCCCCACCCATATGCCCCTAGAGGGGTTATACCCACCAATTATACAAAATTGAGTCCCCTTGACCCAATGATGCTTCAGACTAAATAAGGATAATCCCTTAATCCTAATGGTCAAAGAAGGATATTAAAGGTTTTACCTCCATTTCTCCTATTAGGCCCGCCCTTCTGCCCCCTGGAAGACCACATCCACTGCTTATACAAATTGAGTCCCCTTGGCCCAAGGATAGTTCAGACTAAATTAGGATAAAATCCCTTAATCCTTATGGTATAAGAAGGATTTGAAAGGTTTAACCTCTGTTTTCCCCATTGGGCACGCCTCTCCGCATCCAGGGTGTCAGACACACCGTTTATACAAAATTGGTTCCCCTTCACCCAAGTTTGCCGTATATGTAGAGTGCTACGTAATATGTGTCGTGTTTTTAGTGCTATGTTATGTATGTGGTTTGTGTAGTGTGCTATATCATGTGTATGGTATGTAGAGTGCTATGCAATGTGTGGTTTATATAAAGTGCTATGTCATGTGCTTGGTTTATCTAGTGCTATGTTATGTTTGTGGTTTATATAAAGTGCTATGTAATGTGTTTGTTTTGTGTAATGTGTTATGTCATGTGTGTGGTATTTCTTGTGTGCTATGTAATGTCTGTGGTTTAGTTAATGCTATGAAATGTTTGTGGTATGTATGAGTGCGATTTGTGCTGTGTTGGGTTTATGTAGTGTTGTATGTTATGTTTGTGGTTTGTGTTGAGTGCTATTTAATGTGTTGTTTGTGTAGTGTGTTATGTTATGTTTGTGGTTAATGTAGAATACTATGTGATGTGTGTGGTTTGTGTAGTGTGCTATGTCATGTGTGTGATTTGTGTAGTGTGCTATGTAATGTTTGTGGTTTATATAGAATACTATGTCATGTGTGTGGTATGTGTAGTGTGTTACGTAATGGGTGTTGAATGTGTAGTGCTTTGTAATGTGTTGCATGTGTACTGTGTATGGTTTGTGTAGTATACTGTCATGTGTGCTGTTATTGTAGTGCTATGTTATGTGTGTGTTTTATATAGTGTATTGTAATGTGTGTGGTTTATGCAGTGTTATGTTATTTGTGTTGTATGTGTAGTGTGCTATGTAATGTGTGTTTATTGTAGTGCTATGTTATGTGTGTGTTTTATATAGTGTATTGTAATGTGTGTGGTTTATGCAGTGTTATGTTATGTGTGTTGTATGTGTGGTTGGTGTAGTGTGCTTTGTCGCGTGTGCTTTGTCACGTGTGCTATGTTATGCGTGTGGTTTATCTAGTGCTATGTACTGTTTGTGGTATACGTAGTGCTTTGTCATGTATGGTTTGTATACTGTGCTGTATTATCTGTGATTAAAGTAGTGCGTTGTTATGTGTGTGGTTTGTGTATTATTATGTTTTGTGTGTGGTTGTATGTGTAGTGATTTGTAATGTGTTGCATGTGTAGTGGGCTATGTTTCAATTGGGAAGAATATCAAATTCAAAAGTTTATATTTTATGGTTGAATTAACCATTCTTTGAATCATTTAGTTCAGGCCTTGCTGATGCTACAAAAAGTTGTAAATGCAATTCTAACTGTATACTAGCAATTGTACTTATTCTGGTCAAAGCTATTAATCAGTCATATATTTATCCTGTTATATTCCCCATACACACACATCCTATATTTTTTAAAACAAAGTTACCTCATAATCTAGACCAATGCTGGTACTGGATAATTATCATGAATATCATATACATATCACAAAATATTTCATACATACCTTCACATGTGTTAAAGTTATATAGTGGTGTTTCTTCCTCTTGCAGTTATATCCACACTTTTGTCATAAACTTTCAAATGGAAAAGTATGCTCCTTCTTCTTACAAAACTCCAGCAGCTATCAGAAATGACCACACTTACAGCTTCAAAAGATTGAATGTAGAATCTAACCAATCACTAACCAGGATACTAAACTGGCTGCAGGGGCTACGTTCCGGATTAGAGATTGTTATCATATGTTCTACTGCCCAGTGGTGAGCTGTAAACTTGCTCAAGTCCGTTAAAACACTTTTCAACATTACAAGTAACATATTAGGTCCGATTCATTCCATTTGTTATATATTGAGACAAAATATAATTAATTAAACCTGAACTAATATAAAGCAACATGTGTTTTTAATGCATTACATTTGTACCAATAAGAAACAAGCAAACTCGTGGAATTTATATCCCCCGCTTGCAGGACATATTGTAGGGGAACACTATTGAGGTTAGGTTTAAACATGTGAGTATCGTGCAGTTGAGACATAATGTATTGCTTGAAACTCGAAGAAAAAACGCCCTATACAGACTTTTTATTGGACATGTAGAAACGGCAGATAATGATGTTTTTCGTTATTCGAGGAGCCAACTCCACCAAATAAAGTCCCCTGAATATGGTCATCGAACATGGCCGAGCCCTTAAAGCATTTAACCTTGTGACCAAGTTTAAAGAAAATCGGCTAACATTTGTTGTAGTTATTGATCGGAAACGAGGCGTGACAGACAGACAGACGGACGGACACACCCAAATTAATATCCCCCGATTCGGTGAAAGCGGGGGATATAAATTGCTCAGTGATGATTCTCTTTATTAAACAGTACTGAAAGTGCTGGACTGAGAGGTACAAAATAACAAAATCAGTTCCTACAAAACATACTGGAATCTTATTAATTACATGTATGCTTTCTTAGAAGAAATATGTCTAATTTAGAAATGGTCAAAGATTTCGTATGCACATGCAAGTTATACAAATACATTGTGTGTACCTGGTAGTTTATGGAAATAGCCATTAACGAAGATCACAGATGTTTTTCAAACTAAATAATTTCATAATTCTAAAGGTAATGTTTTGATTAGTCTTTTCTTCACCCTCCCTTTTCTTTCCCCTCCTCTAAAAGAAGAGTTGACATGCCTGCGAAGAAAAGGAAACTAAATGGATTTTTGATCTCACAATATTCAAAAGCTTTGCGTGATAAATAAAGTCATTAATATAAAGTGTATTTAAATAACACTTACAACAAAAAACAAATGTAAAATGTCTCAGTTCAGAAATACTTGTCACTAAAAAGTTTAAGTCCAAAATTCTGTGTCAGTAAAATGGCAAAGTAGAAAAATCCAAGAGAATTTCCACCAAAATATTTCAAGTTCTTAAAAATCTGCCTGGACCTATACATCTACATAAATACGTCCGTAATGCAGAAAATATGCATCTGAGTTTTTCATCGGGCATGGATATTTTCCCAAAAATGCCACACGGATCTAGACAAGGATTATGTGTCCGTTGCATTGCATTGACAATTCCAACAAGGGGCACAGTGGGCCTGAATCGCTCACCTGGTATTAAGCTACAGGCAGAATATCAATGTTTTATTCATACATATAAGAACCTATAAAAAGATCTAAACATATGATGCCTGTGACCTTGACTGTTTGCCATGGGACAAACGTGTGATTGGAAAAACTTTGAATGAAACAATTTTCTTTGAATGAAGCTTTGTCTATAATTGAAGGTGTCATCGCAGCTATCAAACTCATCTTGA